CCCCCGTGGGGGCGTGTGTGATCGTTGTGATCGGTTCTCCCTTCCCCCTTCCTCTCCCCACCTTTCCCCTGGGCCCATGTAATTTTGAATGTTCTGATAAACAAGAAAAAATGGAAGCAAAAAAGGAAAGGCTGCTTTCTTCCTGTAATTGAAGTAGTAAGGCATTGACTCGAGTTAATTAAGGGCTAAGAGAGGAAAACGAAGTGGAAATATGGAACAAATAAAAACATGGGGCATATGGAGCTTCCTTTGCACTGTTTTTCTGGTGGCTGTCTAAAAATGGAGTCCTCGTTTGGGTTGTTGGGAGTATTTTTAAAGCATTCATGGTGTGGGGGGTGATGCCCATCTGTGTGAACTTCCCAGCTGCCATCCCTTACGGCGGTGAACAGCCTGGGGAACCCTGTACAGGTCACTGCGTCAGAATTGATGGCAGTGGGCTGGGTGTGTGTGTGGGGGGGGTTAAGTGCTGTTTATGTGAAATATGTGGTAAAGTTAAACTATTTTCTGTCACAAGTGTGCAAACCCATTGGTTTCTATTTTTGTGCACTGTGTACTAATTGGGAGCTGCGTGTAATAGAAGCAGACTTAGCGATATAAATTCCTCTGACCGTTCCCAGCCATACTGGAGTTGCCTAATAACATTTAACCTTAGGACAATTTCACTGGTCCCTACTTTTTAAAAAATTTATTATTATTTAATCATTTTATTGGTCCCTACTTGTGAACACTTAAACATTGAGGAACCAAACACAAACTTGGTGCCAGTAAGTCTATCGCTTTTCACAGCGACCCTATAGGACAAAATAGAACTGCTCTCGCAAGGTTCTAAGGGGGTACAGAAAGCCCCCTTTTTCTCCCATAGAACCAAACTGCTGACCTTGTGGTCAGCAACCCCTCAAGCTCGTACACTGCCAGGGCTCCTGATTGGAAGTGCAGTTGGCTCTATTTCAGCGTCTCTCCTTTTAGAGCTACTCAACAAGCAACCTGTCATGTCTTTTTCTCCTGTCCTAGCTGCCAGGCTCATGGTGCTCTCTGGGCTGTGTGTAATTTTATATCTCCTGTGTGATTGTGTCCAGTCTCACGAGATGAGGGAACAGGAGAGTGGGGATCCGAGTCCCAGGTTTGGATTTGACTAGGGGTACGAGAGCCATTGGTGGTGTGGTTGAACAGGTGTTGGACTGTGAAGCTAAACGTTGGCAGTTCAAACCTACCAGCTGCTCCTGGGAAAGCAGATGAGGCTGGCTGATCTCAGAAACCCTGCATAGGGTCCCTATCAGTCGGAATCAACTTGATGGCTGGGGGTTTTGCTCTGTTGGTTCTCACAGTACGTCAATGGAAGTTTATCCTTATTTGATCTCTCCCTGGGTTCCAGGCCTAGGCTGCTCATTCAATTTTGAATGGTGATTTTCTATTAAGTGAAGATAGAAAGTTTTCAAAGCACCTTGGTGATTATTTTCTGTGGCCCACTAGAGGGCACTCTTATTAAGTGTAATTCCAAACCCCAAATCCACTGCCACCGAGTGAGTTCTGACTCAGCTTCCCTTATATTCAATTTTAGAGGCTCTAAGTAAGTCTTTACAGGTGTAGATGAGCCTCATCTTTCTCCAGAGGAAGGCCTGGTGAGTTTGAACCATCAATTTTGCGGTTAGGGATCCAATGCTTTAACCCACAGTGCCACAATGCTCCTAAGTAGAATTCCAGTAGGTATAAAAAATTGGAAAGCAGAAAATGTGCATTGGTACTGAATTCCTTTAGTGGTTTCTGTGCTTTATGAAAGTGAGAAAAAATTTAGACTAAATCGAATCTCTTTTAATGAAAAAGAGCTTAAAGGGATTTAGTCAACATTTGGTAACATTTATCTCTGACAGGCATTTGCTGGGCTGTGGATCTAATTTTCAGTTCTCAAAAGTGTTCTTTAGTGTTATACAGGAAGTAAAAACATACAGTACCTCTAGAGAACAATATTACAGTCCGCTTGGGGCTCAGAACTAATAAGCAAGGAAAAAATAAAGACTGCAAATAAGCCTTTAGGTGAAATGACAGCTGATCTTCACACCAACCATCATGAAGCATATGGAGCCCTGGTGGTGTAGTGGTTGTGCATTGGGCTGTGATCCGCGTGGTCGGCAGTTCAAAACCACCAGCAGCTCCACTGGAGAACGACTGGACTTTCTACTCCTGTAAACATTTATAGTCTCGGAAACCCACTCCCTATGAGTCAGCTTTGACTTGATGGCAGTGAAAGATGAGTCTCGTGACGCATGGACTATACCATGGAAAATACAAAGACTAGTTTGGTCCTCATGCTGCCGGTGGAAAGGAAGCAGACATGACCTCATTCTCCTCTGTGACTGAGAAATACTAGGGTAAATCAAGTATCGCAATAAAATTATAGACAACTTTATTTAAGTAATCAAAATATGAGGCTCTTGATTCTTGACATATCCTCAAGCATCTAGGTCCGTAGGCTCCAGAAGGCAAGACCTCCATCTCTTATCTTTCCCTGAAGGATCGTACACTCTGAGTTATACCACAGCCAAACGGCAGTGTTGGCATCCTCAAGGGACTCAGGTTGTGTTTCTTTTCAATGCTCTTAGTTTTGAGGACAGAGAAGTAAGCAGCAGCAAGATAAGGGCTGTAGGGGTGGATGAAGTGCTCACAGGGGACAGTCCGCTGCCTCCCCAAAATAAGCAGGTGTGTTGTCACAATGGAAATCTTCCTCAGTGCAACATTCCTGGCATTTTTCTCATCAACGCTGTTCTCCGTTTTCTTAAAACTTCATAATAAAGGCTGTGAGAAGATCTGTCTCCTTCCAGAAAATTGGTCAAGATTGCCCATTGGGAATCCAAAATCAGCTCCCATAATCTGAGCTGACCTTTGTACCTTGACACTGGCCTAGCAAATCCCCTCAGAAGTTACTGTTTAGATTGGACCTTGTTCTCTGGATTTTTATTGATAAATCCAAGATTCATTTGCAGTTACAATTTTCCCCAGTCTTCTTCATTGGCTTTGATCTTGCTTACGAGACTGATGGGACTGATAGGAAGCCTAGCTGATCTCCCTGCAGTGCGTTTGGCCCCCATTGACACGACAGCTTGCTGAGGTCATGGTGTTCGCTTACAATTGAAAATGCTGACCCAGAACCAAGTGCGATTCCAGGAGTGCTAATTCTACGGGCTTCCACCATTTCTGGACTTGCCATAGATTCTCCTTTCAGGTAGACTGCGGCTCTTCTGTCTCTTACCTGAGATACTAGATCCATCGAAAGACTCGTTTTTGGGGGTTTCTTTTAAATACTTTTATTGGGGGATCTTACATCTCTTGCCACAATCCATACATTCATCCAGTGTGTCAAGCACATTCGCACATATGCTGCCATCATCATTTTCAAAGCATTCTCTTCCCACTTGAGCCCCTGATATCAGCTCCCCATTTCTTCCCTGTCCCTCTCCCACCCACTCTCCCTCACAAACCCTTGATAAGTTATAGATTATTTTTCCCATATCTTATGTCGTCCTCCGTTGCCCCTCACCCACTTTTCCATTATTCGTCCCCCTGGGAGGGGGTTCTAGATTGATCCTTGTGATCGGTTCCCCCTGTCTCCCCAAGCCATCCCCTAATCCTCCTAGTATCTCTACTCTCATTGTTGGCCCTGAGGGGTTTATCTATCCTGGATTCTCTGTGTTGTGGGCTCTTATCTGTAGCAGTGTGCATGCTCTGGTCTAATCTGATTTGTAAGGTAGATTTGAGGTCATGATAGTGGAGTGAAGCAAGCACCAAAGAACTAGAGGAAAGTTGTGTTTCATCAGTGCTATACTGCACCCTGACTGCTGGTTGCTGTCTTCCCTGTGACCCCTCTGTGAGGGCATGTCCAATGGTCTACACATAGGCATTGGGTCTCCACTCCCCCCCCCCCCCCCCCCCACACACACACACATTCACCTTGGGCATGGTTTTGTCTGGGTCTTAGCTGCCTGATACCTGATCCCATCAACACCTCGTGATCACACAGACTGGTATGCTTCGTCCATGTGGGCTTTGTTGCTTCTCAGCTAGATAGCCACTTGTTTATCTTCAAGCCGGGCACCATCAACTTTCTTCACATTTTCTTATGCACTCAATTTTGACTTCAGCGATCGTGTCGGGAAGGTGAGCAACACAGATTTCTGGATTGTTAGAACAAAGTGTTCCTGTGTTAGGGAGTACTTGAGTCGAGGCCCAATGTCCATCTGAAAGACTTTTTTTAATGTGGAATAGCATTCCCATAAACTTGTTGCAAAGCTTCAGTGGTTTAGAAAATGTCCACTTG